GTAGGTCACCTATTTTGGTTTCAAAACGGCGAATTATGCTGAAAGGTGAGTGATTTTCATGTCTGATTATTATTATAATCTTCATTATCACTTTATTCTAAGAGGGCGGTGCCCTATCTGCCTCTACTGGCCAGCTGCCACTAGTAACAGAGCTACTAAAGTGCACATTGAGTGAATGTGTTGTTTAATACAGCTGCTAAACGGTTTTCAAATATAACAGTTTGTTGGGAGCATTTTTTGTTGAACGTTGAACATCTTTAACCCAGACCGCCAGAAAACCCCTGAGGAGTTAGTTGATTACATTTTTAAATATTCCTTGGAGCTTCGAGCCCCACGTACATTTGAAGTGTCCATGCAGGACTGTGTTGTGTTTAAGATGGTGAAGAGCCAGTGATTATGATTCCACTCTTCCAATGTTTGTGTTCAGGCTTTGCCAGTCTGCATATGTTTGTTATGAGCATGTGTGGCTGTCAGTCACTGGTATCTTGGCTGTACAGGCGTGAGCACGTCGGACCTGCTGAACACGTGTGAGTCAGTGAGAGAAACACACACTGAATGACTCCAACGCTTTACAGTATCAGTACTGTGGTATTGCAGTACTTTACTACAAGTAAAGGTCCTGTTCTGAAAATGTTACTCAAGTCAAAGTAAAGAAAGTATTACAGTACCATCTGTGTTTGATCCAGGTTTGTCTGAGAGGAAGCCAAATGAAATTTATTTTATATTAAAAATAAAATGTTATGAGAAATTACGTTCGACACATTCAGTATATTTATACTATTACATAAAATCATGTGGGTAAAAACTTGATCAAGAAAGAACCTTTCAACCAACTACTGGCATAGATCAATTAGGCCTAGCTTATATTTATGGCTACGGTGATGATAGTGATAAATGCTACATACTGAGATACTTCCAATTACTTGGAATCATTATATTAAATATGTACCTGAGTAATAGGTACAATCTAAACCACAGTGCTGACAGCTCTCTACTGATGTTTTCGTGAGTTAACATTATAGTTTTACAAGCTGATAAACTGCTGCTCAGCTTTTAATGCTTCAGAAATCTAATAAGTGTGGGAAGCTTAACATATTGATGTGATTGGAAGGATTCAGACTGTTGTTTACTACCTGCCCTTAGCTGTTTGTCAGACTGCTAGTTACAATATACAGAGCTGCAAAATAATGTACATGTTTGTATTAACACTAATTTGTTAATGTTTAATTAATGCACAGACTCACTCTGTTGGACTTTTTAAGCACCTTGCTTTACAATCATGGAAGCAGTAGAGATTGGCGATCATTGGCTGAGAGTACTGCCAGCAGCTCTTAATGCACATTCACCGACAACCAGCAGTTTCTCTTTGTAGTTTGGCTAAACCACAAAATTTATGTTAATTGACCAAAAATGATAAAATCTAAAAATAATGATCAATAATGAAGAGCCTACAATATAATTCTGGCCTTAATACAACTAGGCACAGGAAGGTTGCAGTGATGGGAAATGTTATGTTTTAAGGGGATCATTATTGCAGTAGCATGCTCTGGATCAAATTTTGGAAGATGCAACTAAGAATTCAAAGTAAAATTACACCTATTAAAAATTAAAGTAAAAGCAATGAACATCCGAATATGTTGAATGTCAAATTTAAAACTTTAAATCTCTAAAACAACCAGTTTCAGTTGTCAAATAAATGTAAATACAGAGAAAGAAAAGGAGAAAGTCTCCAAAATGTTAACAAATGAGGGTGAAAGCATCATGTTTTCGTGACAAGGTGTGGGGGTGGAGTCGTCCAGCGAGGCAGCTCAGAGGTCCGGCCCCCCCGCTCTTCATCCCACCTGGAAAAGAGGCTTACGTGTGTCAGGTTCCCTCCACACAAAAGACCAAAAGGCCAAGGTAGCGGTTACATTATAATTTCAGGGGAGGAGGCAGCTGAGAAGGAAGTCTGGATGGGAACCAGAGAACATGATGGGATAGGTGGGATGTACCGCGGCGGGGCAGAGGATTAAGGAGGTTAGGTGATATTGTTGTGCCGTTCTTTATCTCAGCTGTTCGATGACTCAGTTTAGGATGTTCCCACATCTGTGTATCAGGTGTGTTTGGTGTGTGTGGATCAAATGCAACGTATAAAATCCTAAATACAGAACGCAGTAATTGTATATGAACTATTAAAACTAACAAAATATGTAAGAAGTGGCCACCTGTCAAATTCAGGGGGCAGGGTAACCGATAATTACTGCTAATTGTAGCTGCTGGTAGCTAGGTAGCTCAGTAAGCCATGCAGCTAGCAGTCTTATTAGCTGTATACCTACTGTACTGTGTGTCTATGAGCTGACTGGGAGCTTGGAGTACGGGGAAATGTTGGTGTTTACACAGCTTTGCACGAACAGGAGGAGCTTTGGAGGCCTGAGGCGGGAGGGACCAAGTGAGGAACGCTGTAGGCTTGGAGGATCTCAAAATTCTAATTTGAATTAATTTAGTCTTTTTAATACAGTGCAACAACCATGGTTTCAAGTTTGGGTGTTTGGTGTTTGGTCAGGGTTGGGACATGATTTGGGTAAAAGTTACTTATTTGACCTTTGTTGTCACGGTTACAGTAATAACCACTTGGTTAAGGTTAGGGAACAATGTGGGGATGTTGCCAACCATGTCGGTTGGAAATGGAAAATGAACAGCAGCCTCCAGTGTTGCACCGTGTCCACACAGGAGGTGTAGCATGAACATTAGCAGAGAAGCAGCTTCAGTGCTAATCACTGAAGTTATACATGCAAAATGGAAAAATACAGTCTTAGAGAGCCATTAAGTTATCAGTGTAGACAGCTGTACTGATTAGTGTTCGTTCGGAAAATGTTTTATAGGTGAACGTACTGTACTGAATCACTTCCTGAAACGATCTGATCTTAGAAAGTTTGGTTGAGCTCTCAGCCAGTTGCGAGCGACGTGCAGGGATACACTGACTCATTCAGATGGGTCCTCACTCACTGAATGTATTACACACAGTGAACACGAGCCCTGAGTGATACACCGTCGCCGAGTCGCTTCATCTGACAATAAAGTAGTCGTATCATCATCATCCTGTGTAGACAAGGAGCTAGGCAACTGGCAGAGACTTCAGGAAGTTACTGGTCCCAGCAAAGTAATAGTTCGGCACACAACCCCTCGTAAAACAGCAAACTTATTGACACTATTTTTAATGTCTTCATTCCACCAGGCATGGCTGGCAAAGGCACTGTGACATTGCATCTACGACATTGATTTGGTCCGTCTGGCACGCTCCACCATGAGTGTTACAGAAATGGAGCCCGCCATATTTTTTTGATTTAGACATTATTCCTTGATTTATGTGCTTCTACCATGGGTAAGTAGGCTACTTAGTTTGTTTCCTTTTTGTCTGTTTTGATGATCAGGTGTCTGCACAGGGTTTTTTATTTTGAGAAGTGAAAGTATTCTTGATGCTGTTTCTGTGTCTGGTTTCTGTCAAAAAAAGAACTGCTGCGTACTCTCTGTGTAGCAGAGTGGAGAACCACCTCTGAAATGCATTGTGATGCTTCTGGTGGAATCACAGGCAATGTTTAGAACGGCTGCTCCCAGCTCTGGCAGACGTGTCTCAGCCAGAAACAGTAAGGATATTGGATACATAATAATTTGGCCAAAGAAGGTGGCTGAAAGGGAAATGGGTGAGTCCATTGCTGAGTGTATTTGGCTGAGACACAGTCAAGTAATATGACTTACATTAAATAATGTAAAAAAATTATAAATGAATCAATAAAATGAAATTAAAAAGTGCCACTAATTGAATAATAGAAATGATCTACTGAGATCATCAGTATTATTTAATATCAATCTTTTTTTTTTTTTTTATCACATCAATAGGAAATGTAATTTATTATTGTGGACAAAAACACTTAATTTCCAACCTACTCTAGGGTAAGACAAGTCACTTTCTTTTTATGTATTAATTTTCATTTTGGGTGAAATTATTCTTCACAGTGTTCTGTCTGTTTGGATTGAAGCCTAGGAGGTTTGGAAAAAAAATATTTTATATCTTTAATCCCAGTGGATGCTTTTAAAAACTGCCAGAATTCATATTAAAGAGATGGAAAATGTAAAACGTGCAAAAACACGAATCACAGAGGAATTGTACTTTGTTAATTTTTAGCTGTTAATCACTTTGGAGAATGAGGGGTCACCTTATCTTTGTCAGATCTAATTCTGGAGATTAAACCTCTTTCTTCTTCACACCTTGAACGCCGCCAAACGTTAACGCCTCATCACCTCGACACTTTAACTCTTGTGTCATACACATCGTCGTC